TGTGAAAAAGGGTCTTATATGTTCAAAGTGGTGAAAAAGGTCCTTATAAGTTATTTTTGTTGTGAGGAGGGACCTTGACATCGGAATATGACTGCCGACTTCACTTTCCCGGCATTGACCATCATGTAATATGCACGTGATGTTTTAAAATGTCTTTTCCTTCTTTTTTTTCTCTTGATTTTAAGGAAAGAGAAGGGATTTTGAGAGAAAATTTAGGGATAGTAAGAGAGAAAATGTGAAAAATGTGGGGAAAAAATGAACGAAATGGCCTTTTTAAAACATCACGTGCCACGTGGTGATGGTCAACACCGGAAAAGTAAAGTCAATGGCCATATTTTGATGTCCAGGTCCCTCCTCATAACAAAAGTGACTTATAAGGCCTTTTTTCACCACTTTGAACATATATATAAGGTCCTTTTTCACAAAAAAGTAAATATGTAAGTACCTTTCTAACAAATTTATCTTATATTTACCGCTTACAAGCTAAATGGGGGGCATGGCCTTTTGAGGAATCCATATTAGGATAATGTGATGTTTGCTAAATAATTCTATGTTCTACTCCCTCTATTTTAAAATTGAGTGTCTATTACTAATTTCATGGTCAACGTATAAAAATTTTGACTACATATTCTCATTAAAATATACGTAGTATAAAAATAAATACAGTATCGTTGAACACGTCTCAATGTTTAATTTTTATAATATTAACTTTGTATAATTTTATTAATTTTAATATTAATGATAAAAGATGTGCATTGAAAACCGCATAAAATAAAATAGGCACTTAATTGTGGGACGGAGTGAGTAATAATTTATTGATTGTGTAAGCTGTATTTCCCCTAAATTGCTCAAAGGGTGTCTGCTCATGAAATAGAAAGAGGTTTTTAATAGCCTTTATACAATTCAATTTTGATAACAATAGTTTGTAAACTATAGCATATACATACTTCGTCCTTAGTATTTGTTGTTTATAAAGTGAATCAGATTTGTCTTAATTGAACGTGCAGTTGTTCAAAATAATTGAAAGGAAAATTTGACATTATTAACCCCTTACAATTATTGTCGTGGAGATTATCACTTACAATTTTATTTTATTTTTTAAATTAACCCACCAACTATTTTTAAAACATCTCATTTCCCCATCAAATTGCCCAAACCTCCTATATTGGCTATATGACTTTACTAATATATTGTCATGCTATAAAGATTTTAATATTGTTAGAGAAACTCCAATGGAAAACTAATTGTCAAATTAACTTGTCATGCCTCATAACCTTTTAAGATTTGTCATTTTAGCTCCAATGGTTAGCTAACAACTTACTATTTAAATGGATCACACCTCCTTAATTTAGGTCGATAAATTTCATTTTATTTATTGTAATTTGTTTTATTTTAGCAAGTTTTTTTCCAAGCAAATTTGCTTGACAAAGCTAATTGCATTTTCTAACTCCAATGGCTAAGCTAATAGCTAGGGATTATTTAATGTTACAAAAAAGTCTCTATCTACAACCATTTGAGTTGCTCTTAATAGCATGTCTCTAAATGACAAAAAAAAAAAAAAAAAAAAAAAAAAAAAAAAAAAAAAAACCTTAGTACTGTATGTTTGGGATCTTTTGCCAAAAGTACTACTTTAACCAAAATATTTACCAAAATGACTATTTTTAAAACGTAATTCCCAAACTAACTATAACATTGACTAAATAATGCATTACCATTTAATTATTTACAAATTTTGGAAATGTGTGTTTTACCAATTGGACCCTTTTTTTTCTTTTAATTAAACCCACTATAAGCTTCAAAGTCTAATATGATCTTCACCTATCTTAGATAAATACAATATGCAATCAAATGATCTTCTATACTAAATTAATAGAATAATAATTTTTTATAAGGTTTAATTACAGCATGCTCGCTGAATGTATTCATCATCATCTACAGTTACGTTACCTACAAATACATATGCAAAAAATCAGTATTTTTTTTTTTTTGGTGGCTATTTTGGTAAAAAAAAAAAAAAATGTAATTCCCAAACTAGCTACAAATAAATTTTTGCATTATTTAGTTATTATTGTAGCTAGTTTGGGAATTACATTTTAAAAAAATAGCCATATTTTTTGTAATCACAACGAGATTGTGTTATTTCTTTTTGGTATGAGGTTGAAAAATTATCATAGCATCAAACTTAAGAAGTGTTGCTAGTGATCACAACGGGATTGGAATCGACAGTTCCGAACCAAAAATGGATTGCAACCTCGACTATTGTAAATTTTTAATTCCCAATTTTTATGAAAGTAAAAGCAACTCCAATGTTTGTATCTAGAAACTTGCTTACAATATTAAATAATCCCCAACTACCAGCTTAACCATTAGATCTAGAAAATGCAAATAGCTTGACCAAGCTAATACGCTTGGAAAAAAAATTACTAAAATAAAACAAATTAGAATAAATAAAATGAAATTTATCAACATAAATTAAGGAGGTGTAGTCCATTTAAATAGTAAGCTATTAACTAGTCATTGAAGCTAAGATAACAATTAGCTTAAAAGCTTATGTGGCATGGCAAACTTGTCATTGGAGTTGCTCTTAAATACCCGAATACCCAACAAATATTAACACAAACTTTTAAAAATAAAAAGTATATATGTTTAATTAAGGGTGTCAATTTAGAAAATTAGGTGAAATTTGGTTAAATTGAGATCAAAATTTGAGTCATGTTAAATCATTGTGCCCATACAAATCAAGATCTAGACCAAGTAATCTTCAAGTCGGATCAGGTCCACTTTGACACCTCCTATTAGAATAGTGGAACCAAAACAGTTACTAACGTTAAAGATAAATGCATGGCCCAATCTTTTTATATAGAAAAAAAAAACAAAAAAAAAATCTAAAAAGAGAGAGAGAGATTACATTCTTACACTCAATCATTTCGACACAATTGTTGTGAAACAACAAATTCAAAGTAGATAGAACCCCTTTTTTTTCAGTAAGGAGAACCATACTACACCAAGGGGTCCAAGACCTCTAACAGATAAACCAACCTATCTACACGGCTTGGACTCTTGGGGAATGAAGGGGAAGGGCAAACCTATGGTCGAGGTTAACTCCGACCAACAGCACCAAGTATTGCGAAGTACTTGGTAGATAGAAGTATAGAACCATTAGAATCTAATAGAATTATTAAACTTTCTCATGATACACGTACTTTCTAAATGATACAAATCAATAGGTAAATGTTACATATAATGTGCTGCCTAAAAGTACCAACAATCCACTAACGGTACTCAAATTAGTCAAATACTCAATACATACATAAATGAAACAAGGCTTGTTCTCATTGATTGAACTGAATATTTTATAATAGAAGGAAATTAGGAGCTGAACTGAACTAAGCTAAGCTGAACTGAACAGAATTGAATTTCAACGTATGTAATACAGGCCCACAATTGGTACAAAAGTTACCATTAGAATCTTCTTGATTCTCTCTTCAAACTCAAGTAATCCCTTTTTACCCCAAAAATAGATGCCCAAATATATCCCAAACACACTACCAGAGAATGGCCCTGTTTGGCAATTGGCTGTTTTAGTTGGCTGATTTGACTGGCTGTTTAGATTGGCTTTTGAGTTGGCTGTTTGACTAAAGTTGTAGTGTTTGGTAAATTGGCTGTTGGGTGCTAGGTGTTGTTAAACTATATCAATACTAATGAACTAATATAGTATTTTAATATTAATTAAAATAATAAATTATTGGCAATAATAATTGTAAATTAATTATTAATTATTTACAATAAGTTTACAATAATTTTATAATAATTAGTTATAATTCAAATTAATTAATTATTGGTTATTAATTAACAATAATTGTATATAAGTTATAAATTGATAATTATAAATAATAATATACTATAAATTACTAATATTACTCCATTTTAAAACTAATTATTGAATAATAATAATTAATTATTAACTATTAAATACTAATTATTAAATACTAATAATTTATGTTTCAAAAAATTATTAATTATGCATTATTAATTATCATATATTGACTAATTATTATTAATCAAAAGTTAATTATGTCAATAACCCAAAAGCCATAAGCCAAAAGTTGCTCCAACTAGCTTTTGGCTTTTGGCTTAAAAGCCAGCTTTTCAGCCAGTTAAAAAAGCCACTAACCAAACATGTTTTTGGCTGTTTGACCAACTTGAAGAAGCCAAAAGTCAGCTGAAAAGCTGGTTTCCAAACACCTCCAATATGAGCAAGGTAGAAACTATAAAGATGACTCGGCCAAAAAAAAATACGAACAATAGGAAGAGTTATGGAGAAACTTGGCCAAAAGAACAAATGACAACTACCCCCTAGGCCAATCAATTAAACATTGTCCAAGTAATGACCAAAAAGAGTTAACTTACATGTAAATTATGGAGAAAGCAATCAACTACTACAAACTAGGTCTCACGTCAAATTTAGGAACACTAACGACGACCAAATGTAAGAACACAAACAAGCCAAACTTCAGCACCTTATAAAGCTCATACTATTATCATACGCTACAATTAATAACTTATCACAACGCATAGAATTCTCTTCGTTCAGAATATCCACAAGCTACAATTAATAACTTATCACAAGCTATACATAGTATATATTTATCACTATTAACGCAAAATGCCACACCCCAAACCAACCATGACTGAATAGTCTTGTCATTTTATCAGCATCATCTAGTCTATTATTGTAATAGTACACCATTTGACTTTTCACCTATTCGAGGGTCAAAAATGAAGAGACATTATATGGTACAAAATTCTACGTAAGAGAAATAAACAAATAAATCAAATTCCAAAAGTATCTGTATTCTAAGACAGAATTGCACATTAATTAATTTAAATTAACAGCCCTATAACCTGACTTGTAAACACTTGCAGAGATGTTCAACTAATTTATCTGCTAGTCTGCTGATGTACGACAGATGGGAATTATAAGAGCTGTAAAAGATAAATTGCAGAAGAAATTGCATAAACAGATCTTTTGAATGTCCAAAAACCATTTTCCACATTACAGGTACAGACATCCAAGGAACCCATTCCTGAACTTTGAACATGGCTATAATACGATGAATTCCAGCATCCCATTGGCATCAATAGGGTTCCATACAAAGTGAAAAGGAATCGAAACAATTTGCATATGGAACCAACACAAAGATCAATCTAAGACAAGAAAAATATTGTAAAAAAAGGAGGTATTTGCACCTTGAAAAGGAACTGGGGTGACTATGATACTATATTTTGACAGAAGCAGATAATCAACTGTATCTTTGTTATCTTGCTTTTGTACTAAGAAAAATGGGGGAAGACTATTACCCACTAAGAAAAATACAAGAAACCTACAGAAGTGAGCCCATCTGAATTGCAAACGCTACTGTATTGCTGTTGTAAAAACTTGACAGGGTAAAAAAACATCACTACTCACATCGAGCCCACAGATAAGCTGTGATAATTTCTATTATAAAAAAGGAAAATTTGAATAGGATCATATTTTCTATGGGACAAGGAAACATGATACAGGGCAGATCATAGCCGGATACCCCCTATGAGGTGGATAATACCTGGGGAAGAACACAGGCCTGAACCACCATTCTTAAAATGACTTCCAAAGAGATATATCCATCAACTCGTCAATTTTTTGTCAACATATCTTCAAGGCAGCCTGTTGATGGAAGAATATTCATTAGCAGACTAAAATAGAAACAACTAATTTAACCAAACATATAAACAGTATAATCACATTCGTAAAGTATAATGCTTAGCTAAAATCGCCCATAAATTCTCAAACCAAAATATGCAGTAATCCTGCAGGTACACAACAGGATACTTGCTCCAATTCATAATATCTAAACACTTAACTTTTATTCCTAAAAAATTGGTCTAGAACAATTGGAGCTTTATTATGCATAAACCCAAACTTTCCTATTAAATTGGTATAACCATACAATAAAAGTTTTATTTTTTGGGAGGGGCAGAGGATAGGCAAATGTGTCACATACCCCTCGAGTGCTAACGTCGAATTCTTGATTTGCAACGAAATTCGGCTAAAAGTGCTATATGATCTGAAGACCACTCTGGAGAAGGAAGAGCTGTGTCCTTCCTTAAGCTATCCTCATCCAATAATTCAAGTAAAGATTCCACCGTCAAAGAGTCCGCTGAAACCACAAATTCAGCAAATATGGATTAGGAACTCTCAATGCAAATATTTAAACAAGTAAAAATAGCCCACAAAAACTATACAATAAGCATCATCTACTACCTGTGTAGAATATGTAATCATGGGTCCCTATAAAATCTCTTGTGCAGTTTGTAAATAGGGGCTCATTTGTTGAAGGATCCATTCTCCGCCTTTGCTGCTCTAAAGCTGGTCCCATCCCTCTTGCAAAGGATGAATATGCACTGACCTGAAGTTGCAAGTTATCGCTAATTAATAAAAGCCATGGACATTAGAAAGATCAAAAGCACAATGTTGGTGCTGAAATGTTACCAGTGGAAGCTGGTGTGCAAGCTTTGTATGAGGCCGCAATATTCCTAAAGGGTCCACGGCTAAATCGGGATGTAGTGGATCAACTTTACCCATTGCAAGAAGTGCATGAGGAGCACTGTAATGAAGGCAGAAAATGTGTTTTCGATAAATCCTCATATTATTTCAAATAATACCAACATTCCGAACACACTACTATCAAGAAAGCAGTATACAGACCTTGCAGGAGTTGAATTAAAGTCTCCACACACCAACATTGGAATATCAGCACTATTAGCAATCTTTTCCAACCCTTTCAATAAAGTATGAACCTGAAAACAATTTATTATATATATTAAATGAAATAGTCAAAGAACGGCGACAAAGATACAGAACATTTGCTTCGCATACCTGCCAAAGTTTGACATCCTTCAGTTCTTGATGCACATTTACATGTGTATTTGCCTGATAAAAAAGACAACACAAAAACATGATGATTAAAATTCTGCATAATTCAGATCATTTGTGTTTCTAGATCTAAGACTGCACGACAAGAAAAATGAACAAGTTACAATTCCCCGTAAATCATATAAAGACCTCGAGAAAGTGAGAAACATGAACAGTAAGAAAGGTTGTCGAGGGAGAATAAAAATTATGCTCAGCTGTCCTAAAAGCAGTTAATCTCTTTCTTCATTGGCATTATAGTGCCACAGCTTGCAAATTGAAAGTTAGATACACAAACACATTGATTTAATGGAGACAAACCTAAAGACTTTCCCAACGACTACTAGAAGGTCTAGAACCCTGCCCAAGTCCTCGTGTAGCCTAATACTTCAACATTCTCCGTACTCCCTTTACCTCAAAGAACAGGTACAACAGCCAGCTAATTAGGGAAGATATGAGCATACATAAAATAGGTAGAGCACTTTCCTTGCAACAGTTTGATTAATGCTGTTATCAGTCCAAGCAAATTAAATAATCAAGTCAATCATATAAAGTTTAGAAAAATAAAGGATTTATCAACAATATAAAGCATGAACTACAAAGGAGACACTTAAATAGAGTTTGGAATGTAAATAAGAACATCAGCAGCTAAGCACCAAAAGTCACAAAATTGTAAATTTTCATAGTTGGTTGTAAGATATAAATCTTTCCAAGGCTACTAAACTTGAAGTGACCCTGTGCAGCTTTAAAACTGTAATAGCCTTTATGCCCTCTGATCCCTCTTAATGCAAGAATTGGTCTCTGATAACAAAATCAATGGTGGTCCAAACACAAGCCTCTTATGATGAGTTATTAATAAAAAGTATGCATGATTCCTAACATAAGAATTATTTTAAAAAGAATTAGGATTTTAAAAGTAATTGGTACTCACAACACAAAGAAGCTGTCGTTTTCCAGGGGTTGTATCAGCACCCTGTTGACTGAATTTGGCTTCCAAGACGGCGATTAGTGCAACATTATCCTACAAATTAAGTCACAAGAGATTTCAAGTTCAATTATAACATAAATACAAGTTAAGCGAAAACAAAACTAATAATTAAAATTGTATGTAATAACATATACTTCATACCAAGAAGACATTACACTTACCTTGACAAGTCGATTCAAAGCAGTTTTCTTCTGGGTAGTAGGAACTACAGCCTCTGTTAAAGACTGTGCGGCCTTGTTAAACTCGACCTATAAACAAGGCTAATATCCATCAGAACACAACAAATCTGAAACATTAAGAAATTGTCAATAAAAAGAGAAAAACAGACCTCGTATTTTTTTACATGGGTAAATCTGTCTCTTCGGAAGAATGTGGCACAACCATCAACTGTATGAGTTACCTACAGAAATCAACAAAATGATGTTAGAAGAATAGAGGGTTTTAACAGAAAAACAAATCAGAATATATACATTGTATACCTCTGAAGTTTTCCTCTTATATAGAGCATGGTAGCCATGCTTGTCAAGCTCAGGAGAGAAGAATTCTTCAAAATGATCATATTGAACCTGCAACAAAACAGCTGTAGCCATCATTAGCAAGCAAGAAATGTCTAATAAGCATATCTAAAATGATAATCATGAGTGCGCAGAGTCTCAAGGTACTGCGAGAATTTCAGAAAATCTATTGCAATTCCTTCCAAACTAAACACAGGCCAACATTTAAGAACAAACTTTGGTTATACTGTTCTCTAAATTAGTTTTTTATGCTAAAAAAGGGTCTAATATTATAATTCCGTACTCCTTCCAACCAAAACTTTTTTTGGAAGATACAATTTTTATTATACATTAAGATTTAATAAGCAATGTCATAGTAAGCTATATCATCATAAACAATTGACAAACTAACAACTAAATGAAAAAGGACTTTTAAGTTAGGAGCAAACATCTGTACCTCCTGAAGACATACAATGTCTGCACGATAAGTAACAATTTCTCGCAACAAATTTTGTCTGCGATAAGGCCAGGAAAGGGCCCACGAAGGACAGTAACTATATGTATCACTAGTGGCATATGCATCAGCTAATATATTGTATGAAACCACAGTAAATGTCCCGGCAGATGCAATACGCCCATCAGGATCCAAATGTCCCATTACATCTGCGCCACTAACTGAAATCATGCGACGAGGTGTCGGTGTAGGTGCAGGGATGACCCGAGATGTAGTAAGCGTCATTGGATGTCCGACAGTTTGCTTTGTCTCAGCATCTACAACAACACATTCAAATTTCAAAACATGACCAATATCATCAGCGGATGGTGTGTATGTCTTAGAACGTCCAACTTCAAACCATGTTTCACTGCCACTCCTCTGGGTAACAGCAACAGGATATAAAGATGTGGAGCCATTGGTCAAGTTGGGGCTAGATGCAGAAGGAGCCAAGCCGGCACTCAGAACTCCAGAACCTGAGCTACTTAAGCGTCCAAACATATCTTCCTCTTCACCCCCATTCTCATTCACAGCACTGGCAGCACGGTCATGCAAAACACGATGATGCTGCCAAGCATCTGAAAAGCACTTGGGAGAGCAATGGTAGCTTTTCGTCACAGGGATCTTGGCCTTAACACAACCAATACACTGCAGAGTGGCTTGCTCGGTCGGATGCACACTACAAACAGCAACTTTTTTGTCACTCTGTATACGATACCTGTTAACAACACATAAATAAATCAGGAATTATGTAAGAGAATTACCCGATCAATTCAAACTGTTCAGACTGATTAATTACCACAACATCAACAATGATCCTTTATAGAACCCTCTTGCATCAAAACAATACAAATTAAACAATTACAATTGGCACATGCTTCATTTGACAAAACAGTATTCCCTTTAAACTTAAAAAAAGTTATAATAACTGTAGTTAAGGCACAGTCATGGCAAATCCTAACCAATTTTCAGAAATCCATTTTGGAAGCTGCTCAACATTAAGATCAACAAGACACCCACACAGATACGCAAAAAATCTGAACAATTACGATCATTACTCGGTTCTTTATTGTCTGAAGAGCAGCATACCTTCTCACTTTTCATTGTTTAATATAAGTTTGATTAGTATTTTTCTATTGGTATGTAATTAGGCTATCTAGCCCCTTGAAACACGACTACGTTGTGGTTTTCGGACGAATAGGGGTATTTGCTATGTTTTTGGGCTCTTGTTTTTGAAAATAACAACTTGCTAAGAAAATCATGGAATTTGCACCAGATATTAATAAAGTAATAAATTGATGATCGGGTGATAGTAAACTTGGTATCCTATCAGCTCTCAATTACAATTGATGTTTGTCACCGTCAATCATTATTAGTGCACTATGGACCATAACATACTATACACACAATGCAAAGAAAACCTTAAGACACCTGTACTGATTACAATGAAAGGGGAAACACAAACTAAAACCACTAAGACCTATATTATACATTGGCCCTCCTTAAGTTGCTTTCTATGAAAAATGACTGTCCCATCATAAATTAACAGTAGTATATTTTACTTTTCTCTCACAAGCAAAGTGAAAAATAGGCCAAGAAAATAGAGAATACATTCACACAATCATCAACAACCAAATTGATGTAAACACACTAAAGACTTTTGGTACAAATTTCAAGCTGGAACATGAACATTACAATACTAATTCATGTATGCTCGTAAATAATTCAATAAGTTACCTTTGATGAAAATCTAGTTTATTTATGTGCATGAACAAAATGTTGATTTTTAACCAAAAATATATCAATTGCTGATAAGTTTCCATTTCAAAAGATTGTTATATAACCACATGAAGCTTGACCATTATTCCAAACAATCACATTCATAAAAATTCGACTAGGGTAATAAAAAGCATGCTCATTTATACACCCCTTGTCCAATGTTCATGAAAACAGATATTCAACCCAATTTTACCTTGCATAAATATATAGCAAATTATTTGACATTAATGAGCATTCAAGAAAGAAGGTTAAAGTATATACAAAATTATTCTTACATTTGGTTTCACTTTACTTATAGTTTTCACTGGGCAAAGCAAAGCAAATCAATTATCCAAAGATAGCATAAAGCTAACATTATAATAACAAAGGCCAACATTAAATTTGGCCCAGGATTTTTATAGGTGCCGGGTGCCAAAATATATTCTTGTTTACAATACGTCTTTCCACAATTTAAAACAGATGCTCACAACTTGCTAGTTCCAATAATTAAGCTTACTTCAATCCACTTTCGAACACAATCCCATGAGGTATGATATTCTCTTTGATTCCCCTTTGATTTCAGTTTAGTTAACGAAAATGGGGTAGAGGTAAAAGGCATGGTGTCAGGTAAGAAGTCCATACCCTCAGCAAAGTGTCAGGCGTCCGACACAGAAATTTTAAAGTTAACAAAAGCGTCAAAACTATGCTATCAGCTATATCACCAATACCATCAGCTACATCACAACCAGAGAGAGAAGACTAGAAAATTAAAAGAAACTAAAGAATTGTGACTACCAAGCTCTCTGCTCTTCTACAACTATTTATAAACCTACGACCCTTCAACTTCATAAATAGTTGCATAAAAGGAAGAAATGGCAAACTGAATTTCACAAGCTAGAATTAGGAACTGTTTAGTAAAGGCCAAGACATCTAAAACCAATTGTTTGATTCATTACCAAAAAAAAAACATGACATCTGAAGGCTTCTTTATAGAAACGCATTATAGAAGAATTGACCAGCAAATATTGTCCACACTCATGCTTGAATGAAATTGCAACTCAATTTATAAAAAAAAATTAACAAATAATGGCAACAATCTGGCATGTAACACGATCAATGATTGACAGTGACAAACATCAATTCCACTTAAAAGCTGATCAACAGTGACAAACATCAAAATCCCATGATAACCTTAGCAAGCTTAGCTACAAATACTTATTTTTTAAAAAAAAACCTAAAATAATAGCAAATACACCTATGCGTTCCGAAACCACAACATTTTTGCAATTCAACAGGGAAAGACAAATGACATACCAATGCAAAGAAATTAAACAAATCTGCATTAAACAAGGGGGAAAAAACATGAGAAGAAAAGCTTCTCTTTAAACAATACGGTACCAATTAAAGACGGTCATTCCTATTTCAACAAAAAGCTCAAGATACATTGAATTACAAATAAATTCACAAAATCTTGCCTCAATAAAATCAAAATCATACAAGGAAAAAATCACACTTCCAAAGGAAAAAAAAAATTCAAAACATTACAAAAATCATAGATAAAAAATCAAATTATTATTAAAACATCTCAATTAATGACATCTCAATTAATACAAACACGAAAACTATTACAGTATAATACATACACAAACTAGTAAACCATAAATTATACAACTCACCACTTATATCTTAAGAACTGACCATCAATTGGAGCAGTCTCAGGAACATCCTCGTTAATGACACTCTTATCGGGTTTTCGAAGAAGAACATACGGCGAAAGCTCACAACCTACAATGGGAATGTCGGACGGAAGGTGCACTCTAACCACGCTCAGCATACTTCTTCTTCTTCTCTATCTATCAAATATGACTTAGAACTATCCAAAACAAATCTTCGAAACCCTAAATTTTGAACGTTAATGGCTTCCAACCCAGAAAATGGTAGGCGGAGACCAGGCGGATCCGCCATTTACTACACCTCAAAATTCGCCAGCCTCGATTAATTTTTCAATTAATCACGAAAGATTAAAACTTTAAGCAAACCCTAAATTTCAATCAGCAAAAAAATTCCAAAAACAGTGAAAACACAAATTATTACAGCACAAAATTAAACAATTAACCGATGAAATTGCGATGAAAAAATTCAATCAATCAATCAATTATAGATCTATTAATTGAAATAAGATCGAAATCTGAGGAAAAATTGAACTGGGTATGTTGGATTTTGAAGGGGGAAAATGAAAAAGGAGAGAGAAAGAGGGAGTTTTGTAGAGAAAAAAGGGGGGATTTGGATAGTTAGGGTTTTACAGAAGAAGTAGAAGTCGCTCGAATTGTTTTTTTGTTGGTCGTCTTTCCATTATAATAGGAATAGGAATATGATTTGGGGAATTTTGATTTTTTTGAGAGAAAGAAAAAATTTTTGGAGAAGGGGGGAAAGCCAAAATGTTTAGAGGGACAACTTTGTCTCTTTAAATTTTTTGGGTTTTTTTCATTTTTTCATTTCAATCATTCCCTCCCTCTTCTTTATACTTGTATAATTGTTCTTTTTTTAGGTCACAACACTCACAAGATGCTATGGGTCTAGTTTGTGAAAAAAGGGTTTTTTTTTTAATTTTAAATAAATAGAACTGAGATTAAAAGTGATTCTAATGGAAGATGTCGTATCATTTATAGAAGTTTTATGATAAAGTCACCATCTGATTTGTTTATTTAACGGTTAAATAAGCTATAGATTGGTTTGTCTTATCTACCATTTTAGACTGCAATTGTATTTTATATGGAGTTTAGATACGATCAGTAACTTAATTTAGATCTGGTTGTGTTAAATGGTAACTTTAAAATTATTGATTACTTAACCCTAGATAATGTATTTACATTTTTCAACAAACAGATTTATGGGGTAATAAATGAAAAACTCAATAGCTACTAACTTAAAAGTGAAAATTAAACTCAATAGAGAAATGATTTTTTTTCTTTCTAGATTTATTGGTTTGTTTATAATAATTTCAATGGCCCATGGAGTCGTACGTGGGTCATGTTTGGTATATAGTTGTAAGCTAAAACCTAGTCATATACTCATATCCAGTTTGATTGACTGGTTATATAATTGTTTTATAAGCCTGATAAATCACAAGTCTCCAACACTGACAATATGCTAAAGGCCAGTTAGTGACGGAGCCAGAAATTTAAATCGGGGAGACAAATGAACATTATATAATTTGACCAAAATATCCGAGAAAAAACACCAAAACTTAAATACAAAGAAAGTTCAATAGTTAACGAGTACTTAACAAAAGTTCAACATCATATATCAAATTTTACTCCAAAAATAATCGCTTATGAGTTCGGAATTTTGAAAAAAAATCGAACATTAAATAATATAGGTTATTAAATGCAATAGTCATAATTTATAATTTCCTATGCCAAACTTATTTTAGGGGATTTTATTCATGCAATATCATAATTTAAATTATTATTTAAATATATATATGTGTGTGTGTATGTTAATAATTGAAAAATGAAAGGAATACTTTTAAACATTTTTTAAAAAAAAAAAAAAGTGAATGGAAAATACTACACTAAAGTTCAATGACAATAATAATTTAGGGGTTTTGTTCATGCAATATTACAATTACAATTATGTTAATAAATTAGTACTTGTTAATAAATATATTGGAAGGATTTTCATTTAATAATAAAAATAAAAAAAAATAAAAATAAAAATAAAAAAACACATAAAAATGGAAAGAATACAACATGGTTCCAACTTTGGTTTCTTGTAAAGAATTCCACCACACCATCCACTTTGTATCTTATAATTTCCCACACAATAATATATATATAGCTTTTTTTTAATTTTTTGGGAAGTGGGGGGACAGCTGTCCCCCTTTGGCTCTGCTAGTGAAGCCAGGTCTAGTTTGTGAAAATTTTGTTTCATAATGCAAGGGATATCAAAATTAGTTTTGGACAACATTTAGATGGAAAATAGCATGTATATAATATATTATTGAAGTTTCATAATTGTAGACACCTAATTGTGCCTCCCCCAAAACCAATTCCAGTGATAAATATCTTTCACGTCATTGATTACGAATAAGGTGAAATGTGAAAAGTCTTGTGATGTGGTTGTTTTAATAAAAAAAATTCTTCATGTTTTTGAAAATATTTCTTTTTGTGCTCTATTTATGGAAGATGTCCTGTCTAGTTTAGTTTGATCCATGATAAGGGTCCAATAATAGTGTAGTTGTATAGGGTTCGAAAAGAGTTTTCCAACGACAATTCCGATGAATAATGAAGAAGTTATGACCAAAATACTAAATTGGACCTGAAATGAGTTTTATATACGGCTCAATGATCAAGTGGATGGACCATTATTTATTATTCCTAAAGTCATTAGGATTAACTTTAATCTACTAGAATAATCTAGAAGGTTCTTTTATATACTAGTGGAATTTGGATTAATAATTATATTTTTTAGAAAATAAAGAATTTTATTTGGATAAAAACAAGTGTTTTAAAGATTAAATCTGGTTTTAATTATGATAAATACGGGGTCTAATTACTTAACTATATTAGGAAAAGGACTCTGGACAGAGTTTTTATCTTTTCAGCACCATCGCCAAACGACAGGTTCATCACGCCGCGATGGACACTGTCGCACTGTGATGGAAGTAGTTTTACTCCGAATCGAATTTGATCTTTTCCGATCGTTTCGGGACTGTTTTCTCTATAAATAAGGTCTTTATTCTCCGTTTTCAAATAATCAACTCTCATCTCTTCTCTCTCTTAAGCAATAGTTTGTTATTTCTCCCTCTTTCTAAGCTTAGCCTTTTTCAAACACGTACAATACTGCATTCACAAGTTCTTGACACACCTAGCCAAGCTCGAAGTTGCCTTCGCCGTAGACGTGAAACATTGATAATTTATGAGGATTTGGTCCAAAATCCTTATTTCAATTATTTAAATTAATTGTTTGATTTAATATTTGACAGGGTAAAGTCGTATCCCCTAATGAAAAGTAAATACCTAAGTCCTCTAACTAAAGTAGATAGGGAAGTAGGGTCGAACTCCATAGGGAAACAAGTCTTTTTACTCCTAATTAATTATTATAATCTAAATTATCTAAGTAGCCAATATTTTTGGAATAAATTCTATACTACGAAGAATAAGTTTAGGGAGAAAAGAAACAATAATAAGGAAGTCTAGGGTCACAGGTTCACCAATAATTAATATTTCGGGATAAAAACATAATAATTAATTATTAACATTGTACAAATAACAAGATTAACAAGCTCTCGCAATTTATTAATCAACATAGATCTAACAGGCTCTCGCAATTTACTAGATCTAAGTTCCTATTAAAAATAGACTTTAATATTAAATTAACATCTGCTCGATTCATCAATTCAATATTGCTAAACATTCACAATCAAATTACATCTGCTCGATTCATAATCTAATTGCAAAGAATTAAAACAATTCAATAAGAAATTATCATGCAATACCAATAATCAATAATAACAAATTATCCCTTCATATTAATAATGGACCCCCATAAACCCGAGAATGAAACTACTCAGACATAATCATAACTAAACTAATCAAATAAATAAAATAAAACATAATCAAAGAAGTAAGTGAAATAATTGAAATTAAAGGAGAAGAAATTGTTACCAAAGGAAATCTGAATTAATGGAAGTAATTAAGAACAAAAGTTGAGAGAGAATTTAAGAGAGAAAAATATCCTAAGTAGAGAGAAAAAATCTAAAAAAGAAGGTAATCTAAAATTACGTACATAATTCGTACTTAAACATTCCTCAAAACAAAAATTAAAACTAAACTAATCAGGTCTGAGAAAAACACGCGCCCGATCTTTCTTCGTGCCTCTTCTCAGCAGCACCGCCCGATCGAGCTAGATGCTCGCACGATCGGGCGCGCCTTAGGCCACGCACCAACATTGCACGTCGCGCCCGATCTTGCTAGCTTGCCCGATCGAGCCCTTGCTTCTCTTCGAGGCTTGGACTTCGATTGGGCTTGATTCCTCGGCCCAATCCGGATTTCCTCTTCGGGTCTTGAATACTCGGTCCAAGTACCTCGGTATCCCGATTACCGAGCCCTTAATCACCGGCTCGATGACTCTAACTGGCCTTGGGCTTCAAAGATGGTCGTGCTCTTCTAATTCCCGTAGTCGCTCCATGAAAAACCCGAGAAAATGCTCCAAAGGTGCAATTCCCTACAAAACTCAACAAAGATTACAAAAACACCAATTAGTAATAAAAGTGGCTCGAAAAAGCCAAAAACACTACTAATTATGACCAAGGGACCGGGGGTAAATTACTATATAAAATGGACATATCAATATTTTCATTGAAGTTACTAACGTGCGTATTGTTCTGATATAAAGAGATACGAGGCAACAAAGTAAGTTGTTTTATTGCTATATATTTGTAGAAAACATGCTTAAATTATTTTAATTACTAGTATCATATTAGGATGTTATTTATTGCTTTCTAGTATCATGTTTAGGTTGCTTCCTATTTTCTTCTATCATGTTAGGTCTAAATCTTTGATTTTTTTTATTGTTTAGTGACATGTTCGGATTTGTTATTAATCATGTTAGTATCATGCCAGGATCTTGTTAATATTATTATGCTTTGTTGAGATTATTATGATGATGATTGTTGTTATAATATTATTATGATGCTTGATATTATTGCTATTGCTTGATTACGCCCTTTCTTGCATGTTTAAATGGAATTTGTACTTGTAATCACGCTTAATAAGATAATTAATAAATTGAATTTAGGCTAATGTAATTTTAATTTCAGTGATCACCAATAATAGATTTGTTTGTGCATTAATATTCAACCAACATAGATTAAACAAGTTAGGATTAATCTAACGATTGTATGTTAGTCAGAAAGTGCACATGAATATGAGAAGAATAAAGTAGAGGCCTATTTAGGGTAGGTTCAATCTCTTTTAGGTTGGATTTGTACCTTCATCCCTGAATATTTAGTCATGGTTCAGGACCACTATGGAGTTAGCAATCTCATGGATCGTGAAGGGGTGTAACCTTCACCCTATGAACAGTTTTCAAATTCCTAAAACTTGTTGGCAACTCTTTTGCTCTAGCTTCCTTCCCTTTAGACGCCACCATGCTTAAGTGTATAATCACAGTGGGGCTCAAGTGTGGGATGATTGAAATATTCTCTACCATAATGTATATAAAAATATACTTTGTAAGTATTATCTTTTGACATTAGAAATTTTATCTAAATATATGACAAGTTTTTAGATAGCCACGTAAGATTTATTTTTTTTAGTGCGCCGTGTAGGATAATAAATTATAGCGGTAGCCAATTAAATACAAGATTATTAATTTCTTTTAGAATTAAATAATTTAAATAACACACACACACACACACGCATATATATATAGTAGCATGTATATAATATTATTATTGAAGTTTCATAATGTATATACAAATATAA